ATAGGCAACCTTTACCTGCCTGGCATTGGGCATCAACTGATGTCCCAATGCAAAAGCGGCTCCTTTTATACTGTCGCTGTCTCTGCTTCTTTCAATCGTGAGTCCAGATCTGCTGCTCTTCTAACGAAAATAGTACACACACACACACACACACACACATAAGTTAATATGCAGATAATCGAGAGATCTCATGATTAGGCAAAGCGCAGCTTAAACGAGCGCAATTTAAGAGAGTGTGACGTCACGCGCTCAGCTAGCGCTCTGCTTACATATTTCATTAAAGCGTAACCAAAGCAAAACAAACGAATCAAAGAGCATATACGCCGCTTATCACTGGCTCAAATAACAAACGTTTGGCGGGCAGCGAGAGAGAGAGAGAGAGAGAGAGAGAGAGAGAGAGAGAGAGAGAGAGAGAGAGAGCCGTTAATTAGCCAAGCTAAAAACATAAACAAACCAAAATGCTCTCAGCTATAAAAATGTACACGTGCGCAAAGTGAATGCACACATACATATACATATGCATACAGATGTGTGTGTGTGTGGGTGTGTGTGTGAAAGAGAGACCGCAATGATGTCATTGTTGGCAAACTTTTGCACAGTGCGTCACAATTGAGTTTTAGTGCATATGTTTGGAAATAAAACAAAGAGCATACACGTTTTAAGCCCTGAACCCATTAAATATACATATTTACGAGCACAATTATGCGCTACACACACTTTTTTTATAAACGCCTTTTCGTCTAATTAAAACAAGGATCAAAATATGCAGAAGCAAGGCACAAACCGATATTTATACTCGCAACTCATACTCTCTTTCAAGTTCTCTCACGCTCGCCTTTCGTTGTGCTTCCAATGCAATTTCTTTTGCATTTGCTTTGCGCTGTTTGCATTTTTTTTCACTCGCGCATTATCCTCAGTCATTGAGTAATTAATTTAATACTCAATGACCCACAGCATCTCTGCGCCGCTCGAGAGCTTTGTTGAGTGCAAGCACGTGCTTCTGTATGCTTTTGAATTAAAATAGAAGGATTTTCTACAAGCGCTTTAAGAACCACTCAAAGCTCAGTCAGGGTATTTAAAGCACATAAGGTTGTTAAATGCATCTATGCATAAAAGCATATCATCTACACTCGTGACCAAAATAATAAGTACGTTGCCAAAACTTTTTCAATACCTGAAGAGGGTAACTTAGTTTTGCAATGAACCGTGTAACGCATAGAAAGGAGACATCGCTGACCGCATAAACTAGTTACATATACATATATGCATATATATATATATCGCCGCTTGATCACACTACTATATCCTATTGCTTCTCTGGTCCCTCGTAGATCTCTTAGAGGGTAACTTTTAGTCAGGCACTCGCGACTAACGCCTGCATATGTGCTGTTAATTATTTTTGCTGTAGTCCTCTGCTCCAATGCTACTCATATCAATAAACCCTTATATCTACCGTGCGTACATGCTCTTTCATGTTCCACTCAGCAGCTAGCTCTTTCTTTCTCTCTCGCTCTCTCTCTCTCCCACTAAGTCTCTCGCTCGCACTCTCTGTCATTCTGTTTCGCTTGCATTATTCTGCTTGTTAAGCAGTTGAAAAGAGCTTTGACTGGCAATGAGTGCAAAACAACAATAAAACTACAACAAAATATAATGCCTTGACTTTCAACTGCACAATGAACGACAACAACAACAACAACAACAACAACAACGACAACAACAACAACGACAACAACAATGGGCAAACAATAAAAGCCACGACTGTTTTGGTAAAATTGAATGCGCCAACAACCGTTGGGTGCCACATCCAAATCAATTCAAGTGCGGAAACTGCTGCAGTTGTACAGTTGAACGGCCAACCAGAAAAACCGACCCTGCCCTGCCAGCACCCCTTGCCACAGTCATCTGCATGGCATAGTAATTGTTCTTGTTCTTGTTCTTGTTGTTGTTGTTGTTGCTGTTGTGGCACAGCTTCGGCCTGGTTCAATCCCGAACGGACGATGGCCCATTAGATGAACCTTTTGATACGGCCGCAGCCGCAGCGATAAGCGTTGAGCGAGCACCGCAAAAGGAATTTCACTTCTGTTTTTCTTCTTCTTTTTATTGTTTGGTGTCATTTTAAAAACACATGCAAAAAGTGTGCACGATGCGGGGCGTTAGTTGCATGAGCTGGGCAGAGGAAGCCAAACAGACGCAAGCCACTCGCAGCACGAAATCTCCTCAATTTCGCCAAAATAGTTTCTATTAACTACCCAGAAAACTAGCTACGCAGCTTGAAAGCTAAAACTGTTACTAAAGGGCTTTAACTTAACATCGATATCAGATTCTGCTAACAATTTAAGACAATTATAGCCAAGTTAAAGTTCAGAGAAATCGCCAGCTGAAATGCGCACGTCAAAAGGGGACGGTTCTACGGTGACATGCCACAAGAAAAAAGGCATAGCATATTATTTTCAGACCGACTAAAATTCAGTTAAACGACCAACAATAATGCTCAGCACAGAAAATGAGCTGAAATAAAGTTGGTTTCTTTCTTTTGGCGAAAACGTTTTTTGGAACACGCCAGCAAAGTGCTCAATGGGAGGCCACCAGTTGCCATCGATGGACACTGATTAGAGTCTAATAAGTATGCGTGGGCGTGATCCAAAACCCATTGTTAATGGGTCTCCAAAGAGCCACACACACACACTCGCGCACACCCACACACACACACAGGTGCCGCTGGGGCCATAAAAAGAGCAAAGCACGAATTCAAATTGAAGGCCAAACGAAATCTTAATAACAATAAAAACGAGCACAAAGGACAACGGAAACTAACCAGACATGTTGGTCAAGTTAACCCTGCCAGCCCCCAGCCCTTAGCCCCAAACCCCACCCGCACACACATACACACACACACACACACACGACGCATTCGATGGCAACTTTCGCTGCGCCGCACTTTGATTTAAACGTATTCCCCCGCACTCTCACTCGTCCTCTCCCTCTCTCTCCCTCTCTCTTTCTCTATCTTCTCTTCCTTCAACCTTTCGCTGCTCGACTCGCGACTGCCGCTGACGGATCTTTGAGATAAATTAAATTTAAACTGATACTAAAAAAATTTACGAGCCAATAAACGCGGCCATTGAGGCCAAGGCGGAGGACGATCCACGGAGCGGGGCGCAGGTCGTTGGCCTTGAGAAAGAGAGAGAGAGAGAGAGCGAGCGAAAGAGAGGGAGAGAGAGTGGAAGAGAGCGCGAGCCGCAAAACAAATATAATAACAATAGGCCGAGCACAAACAATGACAGCACCAAATTGTTCTGAATAAGCAGCAAAAGGAGCTGCTGCGACTTATAGTTCGTCATTGACAAGGCCAGCCAAAGGTCCTGTGCGGCGGCGGAGGGGCGGAGGGGCGTAGGGGCGAAGTGAAGGGGGCGAACTGCTGCGGCAAGTGCACTGCGAGATAAACAGAACAAACGACAAAGCGACAGCGCAGACAAGGTCACAAACACACGACACACACACTCACACACACACACACACAAACACACACACCTACACACACACCCACACACAACACAGCGAGAATAAAGCAAACAATAAAGGAGCAGCAGCTGGAGTTGAAGCTCTTGTTGTGGCAACTGCTTTGGCTATAACAACGGATTCCAACTGCTTAGTTGATACTTATCTGGCAGCTATACCCTCCCCCCCTCCCCCCAACCCGCCACTCACCACCCCTCCCGCGCAATCAACATCCCCTCGCCCAACCAAACACCACCGCTGCACAGTGCTCTAAGCAGACATTGCGTATACGCAATAAGTCTACGTATACGTATTATTTGTTTAACGTGCCCGCAATAACAAAACTTAAAGGGATTACCCTAACGAGGGGGAGGATAGAGAGGGCGGGGGCGGGAGTGTGATTGGAGCGAGTTCCAGTCCCTCATTTGATCTTTTACGCACTGTCTCATCGACGATACGATATGATATATGTTAAATGCCATATGCGAGCTGATTTTCATAGCCACATTTTTGTCTCTATTTGTTCAACAAATAAAATATATATAGTTCATACGGTAGAAGAAGGTCAGCGTATACGCTAGTCGGGCATACCCGAGTCGAGCAGTATAACTTCTTGTTATTCTTAACTGAGCTTGGATCTAAGCTGCATTTTTTGTAAATTCTCAGCAATTATCTCTGCTTGGATATGCTGCAAAAATCTACCTTAACTCGCTTTTCTGATACCCTTTAAATACGTGCATATAAATGCTCGACTTGTTGTTCTTTCACGTATTGCTCAGCCCTTCTCTCGCCAAATTCATATATCATGCATCCATGCATACATACACACATGTATACCTTAAGCTTTAAGTCCGTTACACACACACACACACACACACACAATTGCTCGTCTTGAAACTACATTTGCCAAATGATTTCAACGAGCACAAAAACCAAAAGTCCAAATGTAAAATGAAAGGAGAAAAAAATACCCAAACGAATATAATTGCAGCAAATGAATATATGTGAGCCGCACACACACACACACACACACACACTCACACACACACACCAACAAAGAGGCAGATGGAGGCGTGGCCACAGCCCAATCCAACACCAGCGTATGCTTCCAATTTGAATGCACGCATGTTGTGCGCCTTATGGATCGCAGCCAGCCGGAACAGAAGAAAACAAAAGAGAACTAACTAAATGAAGAAGTCCAGTTGACTTTGGCACGCCGAAATTTGAATACCCTACTAGACATGTCTCTACAAAAATTCACTTCTCGACCGATTCTTCCATAAGAGCCATATCAAATAGTACAACTATATAAACAAAATCTAGCTCACGATATATCTGAAACAAAAAATAATACAGTTTTGCATTGAAGAACTTAATTTGCATGCCTATATTGCAGCTATATTCATGCGATCCGACCAATTCACAAAAATGCATATGGCTATAACGAATCGACTGTTGATATAGCTCAATTATGAAGTGCAACAAATTAAATAAGTACTCACCGAACGACGTCAGAGAGCAGGTGTTTATTCTACAAATATAAGGTTCACGAAATAAACTGAAAAAAATGTTAATAAAAAATTGATTAATTTATATATATATACATAATATATGTATATGTATGTATATGCATATGCATGTGGGTCAATATATGTTACATGTGTTGCTACGAAATAAGCATGCCCTCAAGGCAAGGGTATCACAGAGAAAGAACAACAGCAAAAACTAGAGGCAACAGGCGGAGGAGCCAAAAATGTTGATAAACCTTGTGCGGAGCGAAGACCAGACGAACAAGAGACGCGCACCACAACAACAACAACAACAACAACAACAGCAACAACACAGCAAAAATGGCAAATGAAAGGCAAAAACAAGAAGCGCAAACACAAGAACAAAATGAAAATGAGCAAACGTAAGTTGATGCTGGTTTCCTGTGCAGCCCGTTACAAATCCCTCACACACACACACACACACACGCACACACACCACCCTCCCACCCTCTGACTGTACTGGCTTTTTTGCCTGGCTGCTGCCGCTTCATAAATTCAAATTTGATTTTCATGTTGATTATGATGCGCGGCGCAGATGATGATGGGAGTGAAGATGCCAAATGGCCGCGGCTCAGTCGCTGATTATTGCCAGCTGGCCAGACACCTCCAGACCGCTCTACCCCCCCCCCCCTCCCTCCTCCCCCCTCCCCCTGTGTCTACATCCTCCACAGAGTAAATGCACACCCCTCTCTCTCTCTCTCTCTCTTTCAAATGCTTGCGGCAATTGTTGTTATTATTTTGCTTAGCTTTTATTCACTTTTTTATGAGTTTAATGAAAATCGTGGCAGCCATTGTGAACTACTCATAAGCATATACATAAGTACGAGCGTGTGTGTGTGTGTGTGTGTGTGTGTAGGTGAGTGCGCGTACGTATTTTGAGTACTACTTTAAACCACTTGCGCCTCGCCCCCTTGCCCAACCACACTCATAATACGCTTTATGGGCCATTTGGCTGGGCGACATTGCCTTTGCCATTGCCTCAAGCACTCTGTCCGTCCGTCTGTCCGTCCGTCCGTCCGTCCGTCCGTCCGTCCGTCTGTCTGTCTGCGATGGTAAGCAGCATTTTGATTATGCATTGCCCAATCTTATGTTAAGTATACGCAGCGCCATACGCCAATCAATATGCAGCTGCCACTCAAGCAGCTCGAGAGGGCCAAAACGAGTGATTGACAAAATAAGCTTGAGAAAAAATAACGATGCGCACAAAATAAGTACGTTGAATACTTATAATAAATATAAATACATCTAAGTTAAGCATTCAGTAATAATTAAATAAATAATAATGAAAATAATAATAGTAATAATAATATTAATAATAATAATAATAAAAATGTAATAATAATAATAATAATAATAATAATAATAATAATAATAATAATAATAATAATAATAATAATAATAATAATAATAATAATAATAATAATAATAATAATAATAATAATAATAATAATAATAATAATAATGATAATAATAATAAGAATAATAATAATAATAATAATATCAATAATAATAATAAGAGGAAGACAGATTATCATCCTCATCGAAACTCTCCACATAGCTAACTACTTCAGAGCTCTTTCTATGAAAGCTTGCCACACTCCGTGATATTATTGGTATACCCTATATAATTTTAAATTTCAATCACATTTGGCATGCATACACGTGTATTTCATTCATGTACGGAATATCGACTCAATTTCCCTCAGGCTGTTGGTTTCCGACTGCATTCTACTTATGATAAACTTCCAGGCAGGTTTTTGCCGCATCTCAATTGAGTTCATATTTTTGCATATTTATTAAGTTTACTTCAAACATCTCAAATTTCAAAGTGAAAACAAGAACACGCAAAAGTGCTTCAGTGAGTCGTGCACGACTAGTAGATACCCTGCCTTCACAAACATTCTAGTTTGCTTCTGGTTTACGTCTTGGGTGCTTGGACTTACGTCTTGGGTGCTTGAATAACTTCGGTGCTTATAGTCCGAACCTTATGAAATTTTCATCAGTTCATGCGTATGTACCAAAGCGAAAGGCTCAAGGTTAAGGAATTGCATTTCTTCCCATTTTAAGGAGGCATCCTTACGACAACGTAGACACCTATATTGATATAACAAGCTCTTATAATCTTCGAGCTATGCTCGAAACAAGAGAGAGAGAGAGAGCGAGATTTTTATCGATATTATGAATATGTCAAGTCTTCGTCGGGAAGACCCTGATTAAGATATGCCTTATGTGGTCGGGAATCCTTCCCTCTGACTGATGGATATAATACATCACATCCACAAAACCAGTAAGCCCGTTATTGTTACTCAATGGACTTAGGGTATAAAAAAAGATTTAAATAATAAACAACATTTATATTAGCACAGCATGAGAGGATGTCTGATGTATGTGGACATATGTGCGATACTTAAAAGTAATTCCTGGGCAGGCGTAAATATGTGTATAAATATAGTAAGTGAAATCACCCGGCGTTGCTCGGGTCAAATGAATTATGTTGTATTCTGTCACCCACCCCCCCCCCCCCCTCACCGTCGCCACGCCAGCTATAAATAATATTTCAGTTGCTATCTATCTCATTAACCAGCTCTTTCAACTAAAATTGTGGTAAGAATATCATCAGATCGCTGGCCAGGGCGTCTCCTAGTCGGGCAGCTTTGGCTTGTTTTCTAGGTTCTGAATACATTTCGGCATGCAATTGCACGGTAAGCGCAGCTGCTTGATATTCAATCGTTTCTCGGCACTGCCGGACACGGTGGCCCATCATCGTCTTGCCGGCAACAAACAATTGCCGTTGCGGCAAGTGAATGCATTCATAAAGTCAACTGATTTTATTACAGTACGGCGGAAATGGTAGCTGTCCGGGTGGCATGCCACCCATTCAATTGTTGGTTGCAACACGCTGCACGCTGCAAGCTGCACTGTGTGCACGGCATTCGATTTGATATCGCAGCAGCAACATTCCGGGCCAATATTCGTTAGCACGGTTAATGGCCAAAGTGGCGACACATTCCCATTCCCGATCCCATTCCCATTCCCATTGGCATTCGCATTTCGATTGCCAATGCACTTGACCAAAAGACAGAGGCAAAACCGATGCAGTTTTATAGCTGCCAAATGGCTGGCGACATATGGACGCGAGACAATAACAGACAGACGGACAGACGGACAGACAGGCAGACGGACAGACGGACAGACAGGCTGACGGACGGATAGACTGGCGGACAGATATGGACGACTGCGCGAGGCGCCGCTTGGACTCAACATGCTGACAATGGCTGCAAACATGTTGAGCTGCGTTTCAGACTTAAGCCTTCAAACTCAGCTACAACATTCACCCTACCCCCCCCCCCCCCATCCCCTCCCTCACCTATCCACCACTCTTCCTCCCACTGCCCGAAAATGTGCACTCGTGTGCCCAATTACAATTGTAACTTTGTAATGCAATATCTGAAAAACACAACGAGCCAATAATGTAGCCAAATACCCTGTTCACAGCCTAAAATGTATAGATAAAGAGTTTGCCCGATTGTGATTTTTGCTTAGCTGACTCTAAAACTGTGACCCAGTGCCTGGCAAACCTGTCTGCGTCGAACATGATGAGCTGGCTAGACATAAGTATCTGAGCGTTGCACTGGCTAGCGAAAAGTCGCCGGTTCAACTCCATAATATCGATTCTCGATTCAATTTCTTGTTATTCGCCAACGAAAGTGCTAGCCCAACATTGCTGCTAGCCAATAAGCTCTCCCTTGTACGGCAAACAGCGTATAAGTAGCAGGAGCGCAGCACGCACAAATTAATGACGCTTGTGGCACCAAACAGGTGGCCAGAGTGGCAAACGAAAAAAATAAAAGCAAGCAAAAAAAAAAAAAAAAAAAGGTAGGAAAATGTAAAGAGAAGAAAAGCCATTGCCAGGCAAACAAGCCGCACAAATTGCCGCTGGATGCGAGCGGGCGCTCAGGAGGGCAGAACGTTGCTGCAACATGCGAAAAGTGGCAACATTATTATTGACTTTCGCTGGAAACAGCAGCTGTGCCAGTGTCCATTGTGGCCAGGGCGGAGGCGGTTGTTATTGAAATTTGTCGAGCGTATGCTGTCGATTGGGTGTCAAAAGGCAAACGGCAAACATCAAACGGCAGTAGGCAGAATCCAGAAGGCGCCCCCCATTAGGTATGCAACAAATTGATGCACAAACGATAAACGTGCCCCATTCCCAATTAACAGACACGATTGTCCCAAGCATCATTTATTGCGTGTGCCAGGCTAATAACAGTTTCATAAGCCGCATTTTGCAATCGAGTCCAGTCTCAAAGGCCATTTATCAGGGTCTAATCAGCATTCTTTTTGCCTTCAAGAGAACGCACTTAGCTGTTGGGAAACTTTGGCTCAACCTAACCTCACAATAGCCAAACAGAAGAAAAGAAAAAAAAAACCTAATCCACAGGCTTACACTGCGTATATAACTTCAATTTTCATTGAACTTTCATTTTGCTTGACTTGTTGTTGCTTTCAATTTCTATTTAGCTCGCTGCTATCACAATTTGAAGTTTTAAAGAACAAAACAGTTGGGCTCGGCATAACATAACCTCACAATAGCAAAACAATAGCACAACCAGCTGCCAATTGGATTGATTGTTCATTTCAAGACAAAAGAAATGAGAAAATGAAAAACAATTACCCAAAACTCTGATCAATGCGGCCATCATTTGCAGTACCTAACCTATAAATGACCCACATTGAATTATTCACAATATTATTCTTTACATAACCTCGAAATAGGTGTGCATTAGACCGGACTGGCCAAGAGTAGCTGCTAATTTGACGGCCTTTAGTCGAGTGTTGCCCAACCGATTTGCGTCTTTATTGCACACGCACACACACGCACACATATACAATTCAACCTAACCTCACTCTAATTCTACTTAACCTACAAATAGAAAGGCAAAGCAAATGCAATTTAAGCGGAATATCTTTATGAGCAAATCGCCTAGCAGCTGTACCACGCACATAC